AAAGTGGGAATAGAGAGATCATACCTCAACATAATAACAGCTCTATACAACAGACCTATAGCCAACGTCATACTCAATGGACAAAAGCTAAAACCACTTCCCATAAAAAAAGGAAAAGACAGGGATGCCCCCTTTCACCACTCCTGTTCATCATAGTACTAGAAGTGTTAGCCATTGTGATCAGACAAGAAGAAGAAATAAAAGACATCCAAATTGGAAAGGAGGAAGTAAAACTGTCTCTATTCCCAAGTGACATGATACTGTACATAGAAAACTTTCCCTTTCTCTTGAGTCTTGTTAGGCTGTTCTGTCAATCAGAGTGATTGTGATGCTTAACTTTAGGTATAGTTAGCAGCCCTGCAAACTGCAAAGTGTGTGTCTTTGTGTGGGAGGTGGAGGGTGGTGCTGGTTATGGGATGGAAACCGCAAAGGAAAAAGCTTAGAATAAAGAGCAGGGTTTTTGTTGTTGTTGTTGTTGTTGTTTGTTTGTTTGTTTGTTTGTTTCTTTAATCCAGCAGATCCATGCATCTGCAAATAAGTCACAGGCCAACTAGTTGCACCCTCACTGCAAAATCTGTCAGTCATTGTCTACAGTGAGTTTGCTTGTGAAACAGTGCATGCACTTCTTACAATTGTGTGTATTAACTCAATGCTGAATTTCACCAACTGGCAAATTAAGAGTGCAAGAAAAACACCAGCTACTCAGTTGGCTGAGGCTGATGTATATATACCACAGGACTTTTTCTGTATTACTTTAGAGCAAGCATGTCAATCTCGAGGCCCACAGGCTGCATGCATCCCACAATGAACATTATTGTGGCCCAGCCAATATAATGGTATGTAAGAAATGTTTTAATAAAAATTTCATAACTAAATTTTTACAATATATTGTCATACATAATTACTAATAACGAACTATAATGTTCCCTAATGACTAATTATTATAATCGTGTGGCATTCATTTCTCTTACATACCTTATGAGCAGGCACACCATTTCTCTCTACTAATACTAACAGCAAATATTTTAGCAGTTGATTGCCACGTCATTAGTCTTTGACTGACTTGTTTGTGTGGCCAACAGGAAATATTTCGCTTTTAGAGAACAAGAAAAATAGGTTTATTTGCATTACACTTATTTACTTGTGCAGCTATTCAGTGTTTGGTAAGTTAGCGTTCAAGAAAAAAATATTAAATTAAAAAAAATGTTCTATTATTTATGTTAATGATTACTTGTTTATTTCAGCATGTCTCTATCGAAATAAACCCACATTTCTATGAAAATTGAAACGCTTGTTTTTTGGGGGGCCCACATAAACTTAAAACTTGTGTATTTGGCCCATGTTAGCCTTTGATTTGACATGCTTGATTTAGCGTATCTCATCTTGATGCTTATCTTCTCATTCATCTCTTACCTACTGCTATTTTGGCAAGGAAATTCCAAAACAGGGCAAATGATCACTAGTCTTAACCAGACTGCTCTGAAGATGTAACACATAGAGAGGAGGCTTTCTCCAGGAAGACACCAACTGGGTAGTTTTTCTGAGATTCAATTAAAAAACAAAAACAAAAACCAACATATCCAAAGCTGTGATTCTCAATTTCATTTAAAATATAATGCTTCTAGACCTTATTCTTCTGTGTGGGTAGTTTTTTAAGGTTCTGACCATATTTCCTATCCTGGATGTGGTCACAGCAGTGCAGCAAAGTAGTGTGTGATCTAAAGGTTCCTTTCCCTCCCCAAAACTTCCCTCTAAAAAATTCATCCAATCATTTAGTTTAAAAATTTTCCAGGATCAGAAATAAATTTGAATAAACCTTATCTTCTTTTAAAGTGGTGTGTCCTGAGATCATTCAAGAACTCTCAATTATTCCTACATGGGCTTGAATTAATTCAAACAGATTGATTTATACCTTGTATTTAGTTGCACCTATACTATAAAGACACACATTTTAATGATGAGGAGGGAGAATGGAAGGCTAATTTTTAAACACGACGGATAAAAGGACATTTTGGTGGAGAGGAATGGCACAGGGGCCAACTAGAGTACAGAATTTGGGAGAGGAGAACAAGGACATTGAGGACACAATCTTAAATTTCAAAATAAACTAATGCAATTTTTCAGGGTTCACATTAGGCTCTTACCAGTATTTATCAGCCTTTGGCTCCATAAATTACGTTTAATTATTGGCAGCAGCAAACAAGAAATCATTTCATCAGAATGTCTCAAATAGTAATAAGAGAATCAGAGCCTTCTCCAAGACTCCTGCTAGTTTTCCTTGCATTTGACTTACTCATTCTACTCCTTCCACATGGCTGTGCCTACACCCAATACCCAGGTTTCTCTGCTAAGCAACACTTGGCCTGCACAAGGGATCTGTTTCTATTTGTTTTTTTCTCCCCCGCCTTTTTGTTTCTTAGGTTATCCATGTTGGAGGATGAAGGATTTAAGGAGGAAATATTTCCTATCTAGGGCTTTATCCTCTCTCTATTTAAATGTTCAAGTGTCCTAAAGTCCATATCCCCTGTGTTAAGAAATGGACTAAATAGCAGCCAGTGCAGGGGTGGGTGCTACTCATAAGTTTGTCTTAACTGATTTCACTATAGGCCTACCTAGAGGGTAGGGAATGAATGATGGCTTGTGGAGGGCCCTTGAAAACCCCTTGATGCTCTGATTCTAAGAGAAATTGCTGTTTCCTTTTCAGAATGTCATAATGGAGTTGGTTTCCCTGGTTCCCATCCTACTCCTGACTGCAGCAGTTTCAGTAATTATCTCCCCGAGCTCAAGCTTTGAGAAGACTGGAAGCAGGCAGAATGCTTTGCCAGCAGCCAACCCAATTCAACCTCCCTAGAACCCTATGCCATCAGGGATCAGACTGTGTCTCAGGGGACTGGAGACAGGCACAGCATGGATATGCATAAACAGCTCTGACTATCTCTCTCCTAGTTGTTTCTAATAAGCTAAACCTAGGAAAAGGGAGATATACACTCCTAAGAAAAACATAAATGATGCAATGTCATTGTGCTGGTTTCCCACAAAACCGATTTCCCAAGCAATCTGCATGTTTTCTGTCTAACTACTTATGAAGGGCTTTACTTTGCACAATGACAAATGCATTGTAAAAGCAAGTATTTATTCTTATATCCACCAAGGGACATTGTAGACTACAGTTTATTATGTGAAAAATTTCCATTCCAGTCTAATTTATAGAGAGTTACTCACTTTAGCGCCAAGCAAACACTTGACTTATCAAATCATACAAACCAAGGGTCATGTCATAAATATTTGATTATAAATGCCACTGAATGTAGGGCTCAAAAGTACTTCTATATGATGCTCAAATTGTGATTGACATTTACTGAATGCTATGTGTCAGGCACATTCCCAAACACTTTATATTAATTAATTCATTCAATTTTTACAAGAACCCTATAAAGTAGGTACTATAATTATCCCCATTTTACAAACTAAAAGACTGACAGAAAGGTGAGGAACTTATCTAATATCAAATAGGATGGCAGTTTCTGGAATTCAGGGAGTGACGGCTAATGTGTATAAGAGTTCTTTTCAGAGAAAATAATATATTCTGGAATCAGAATGGTGGTGAAGGTTTCAAGACACCAAATTTATTTTAAAACATTGAATTTTTACACTTTGCGATATATAAATTATATCTCAGTAAAACTATTATTAAGAAAGTGCCCTGCCCAAAATCACAGAGCCAACGCATAACATAGCTAGATTTTCATCCAGCACAGCTTTCTTTATCCTTTATTTTGAATCTCCATTAGTTATTCCAAAAACACAACTTTTGTGATGGCCTTCCTCTGATCAAATCCTCTGTGAACTTTCTCATCAAATAAAAACTCCTCATCACCCTTGCTTTACCTTTCATTCTTTTTAAATATAAATAAATAAATAAATAAATTTATTAAAATATTATAAAATATATTTTGATAGTATTTTATTAAATATATTAAAAAATATAATCTTATAGTATCACAGATATCTTCCACTTCACCCACCCTTTTACCCCTTCTTCTCAGACCCTACCCACCCTCCAGGTCTTCACTACCCTATTGCCTGTGTCCGTGGGCCATGCATATAAGTACATAAGTTCTTTGACTTACCTCTTCTCAAACCTTCATTCTTAATTTTCACTAAAGATTCATTCCTTACACAACTGAATCCCTACCATGAGCACCTCAACTTGATAGGTAGGACTGAGGATAAGAAGTTTGGGTACCTGTCCTCAAGGATGTAAAGTTTTAGTTAGGTTATAACACACACACACACACACACACACACACACACACACACACACAACTCTAATTACTATATACAGGCTACACCTAGTGTTGTGATAATTCAGAAAAGGGGGAGAACTTTTAAAAAAATTATAAATCTTTATTGTTCAGATTATTACAATTGTTTCTCCTCCCCCCCAGCCCCCATAGTTCCCCTCCACTCGGTTCCCACTCCACCTTCTGCCTTTACCTCGCCCCCACTGTCCTCATCCAGGTGTGCGATTTTTGTCCAGTCTCTTCCTACACCCCCATTCCTATTTCCCCCTGAGAATTACCAGCCCACTCCCTTTCTATGCCCCTGATTCTATTATATCCACCAGTTTATTATGTTCCTCAGATTTTTAATTCACTTGATTTTTAGGTTCAGTTGTTGATAGATATGTATTTGTTGTTCATAATTTTTATCTTTACTTTTTTCTTCTTCCTCTCCTTAAAAAATACCTTTCAGCATTTCATACAATACTGGTTTGGTGGTGATGAACTCCTTTAGCTTTTTATTGTCTGTGAAGCTCTTTATCTGACCTTCAATTCTGAATGATAACTTTGCTGGGTAGAGTAATCTTGGCTGTAGGTTCTTGGTATTCATCACTTTGAATATTTCCTGCCACTCCCCTCTGGCCTGCATAGTTTCTGTTTGAGAAATCAGCTGACAATCATATGGGTGTTCCCTTGTAGGTAACTAACTGTTTTTCTCTTGCTGCTTTTAATATTCCCTCTTTGTCTTTTGCTCTTGGCATTTTAATTATGATGTGTCTTGGTGTGGTCCTCTTTGGATTCCTTTTGTTTGGGGTTCTGTGCGCTTCCTGGACTTGTAAGTCTATTTCTTTCACCAGGTGGGGGAAGTTTTCGGTCATTATTTCTTCAAATAGGTTTTCAGTATCTTGCTCTCTCTCCTCTTCTGGCACCCCCATAATTTGGATGTTGGTATGCTTGAACTTGTCCCAGAGGCTTCTTACACTATCTTCAAATTTTTGCATTCTTTTTTATTTTTTATTTTCTGGTTGGGTGTCTTTTGCTTCTTTGTATTTCGTATATTTGACTTGATTCTTGCATTCCTCTAGTCTGCTGTTGGGTCTCTGTATAATATTTTTTTATTTCAGTCAGTGTATGTTTAATTCCTAGTTGGTCCTTTTTCATATCCTCGAGGGTCTTGCTAAATATATCGGCCTTTTCTGGGAAATTATTGGAAAACCTTATAATCGTGGTTTTGAATTTTATATCCAGTCATTTGTTTTCCTCCACTTCTTTAATTTGTGATGTTTCTTTGTCTCCGCATTTTTGCTGCTTCCCTGAGTCGGTAGGGTAGCTTTGTGTGCTAGATGTTCTATATGTCCCAGTGGGTCGAACTCCCCAGTTACCTGAGGTAGACACTCTTGGTGCACCACTTTGTGGACTGTGTGTACAGTCTTGTTGTAGTTAAGGTAGTTAAGTCTTGATTGTTGTTGGTGTCACTGGGAAAAATTGACCTCCAGGCCAATTGGTTGTGAGTATCAACTGTGTCTACCCTGGGAGATCTTCTGTGCTGGAGACAGCCTTACGGGACCAGAATTGCAAAATTGCAAAAGCCACTGTGCTCTGCTTGGATGGGGCGGAGTCTCAGGGCTGAGCAGACAGTCTTGTCTTTCCGTCAGCCCTGCTCAAAGCCCCTGGGTCTCAGTGTCCCTCAGTAATCGCTGCAAACACCTCTGAGAGAAAGCTGCCCTTGAGTTTCCCCCGCTGCCAGGCAGTCCAGTTTCTCCCCCAATGAATCTGGATTACCAGATTCTCGCCCGCCCCTGGAGTTCAGAGCAGTTGGGAGCTTCAGGTTCCCTCCAGCCAGCAGCACAGCCAACAGTCAGTCCTCTCTGAATGCTCTTGCCTCCAGACCTCCGCCTTTCTCGGCTCCCCTGCGTTTCCACCTGACAATCCAGATTCCCCTGTAAGAGCGTGGGTCCCCGGGGGCTCACCCGGAACTGAGGTTCAGTGCATTCGGAACTGGGGTTCAGTGCAGTCAGGAGCTTCCAAATCCCTTCCCCTAGGGAAATCCAGCAGCAACCTCCACAGTTAGTCTTCTCTGCGCATACTCGTATGCGTACACCTCCAGACCCCTGCCTGCCGTGGCTACCCTGAGCCTCTGAGTCTCCATTTGCCTTTCTCTCTGCCTGACAGTCCAGACTCCCCCGTATGAGCTTGGGTTCACGAGGTTTCGCCCAGAACTGGGGTTCAGCGCAGTCGGAACTTGGGTTCAGTGCAGTTGGGAGCCTCCTTCTCCCTCCCGCCAGAGAAAGCCAGCCAGGCATTCAGTCACCCTTCCTCTTTGCTCAAGTGTATCAGTACCTCAGCCCTTTGCAGTTCCTCTGATTCCTTGTGAGCTTTTCTCTTTCCTTCTACTTGTGGAATTTCCACTCAGCCAGCTTTCCTGTGGTTCTGAATGATGTCCATTTTGTCTTTTAGTTGTAGTTTTGAAATTGTTGTGCGAGGCAGCAGTTTAGGTGCTTACCTATGCCACCATCTTGGTTTATCTCAGGGGAGAACTTTTGGATTGTCTTTGAGTGTAGGTGAAGGGATTTGTTGAGGAAATCGCATTTGAGTTGGCCCTTGACAAGGAAAAAGCAAAAAGTGTAGATAAAAGTAGTAGAATCCAGGGCAGGTTCTGGTTTGATGGGAATAGAGTGAATATAAAGAGGAGTTTTGTTTTCTTCAAGATAGCCGTAGAGTAGGTGTAAGCTACACTCACTTTCTCCCTACACCAAAACAGATTGAGTCAAGCAGAATGACCAACTGAAGGACAGCTGAACAGGAGTATTTTATTAAAGCATTTATAGAAGAAGCATCATAGAGGCCGGTAAGAAGGGCAGAGACACAGGGAGGGCTGGCCCCTGCAGAAACTGGAGGGGTATCTCAGCTGCAAAAGTCCCCACTGAGAACCATGGGGTCTTAAGCCCACACCAGGACCCACAACCCAGAGCACCAGGGCCAGGAAGTGGAGTTTGTGTAGCATCTGGAGAGAGTCTGCTTGAGTCCCAAATGCTCTCTTAAAAGAGCCAACACATAGAAGCTTGCTCTCGGGCACTCACCTGGGGCTCAGGTAGAGGGATGGTGACTCAGGGCATATGGGAGTAATACAGAGAAGATCTTGACGGCATGGTCTCAGAGAGAGATCTGGAGGAGCAGCTACTGAGGTCCCAGTCCTGAGTCAGCATCGCACACTCCCCTCAGGCATCATTTTTCCAAGGTTGGGCATTGCTATTCTTACAGCACCAGTGCTAGAAGTGCATTAATCCAACCCTTCAAATACAGGTGACAGTACCCCCCAAAACTTGAGTCCAGCAGAAAGGATTGTTGTCTGCACTCAGGGAGCTTTGGTGTGCTCTTTCCCTGGAAAAACTATAGGCAGACGCTCAGACAGACATTGAGCTGTGAGGCTTTGGAATGGGGCCCGTTCTTTCCCCCTCCAGTTGCTGGCTTGGTCAGTACGACCCCCAGTGTAAGGCTGTCTTGATATGTTTTACCAAGTCCTGGTGGCCCTATCCAGCTGAGCTCAGCTCAGTGGGAAAAAGGGAACACTGCTCACACCTGGGACCTTTGGAGGCAGTCCACGGCTCGAGACAGCACTGCTAAGAATCTAATGGGAGGCATTGAGCTTGCTCCACTACTGAGGGCTTGACCAGCTCTACCACCAATGGGAGACTATCTTGATTTGTTATCCAAAGTCCTGTTAGCCCCATGCTGCTGATTTCAATTTCATGGAAGGAAGGGAATCCCACTCAAGAGCTTGCTCTTCTTCCACATGCTTGGACAGTGCCGTCTGCAACGAGAGACTTTCTTTATCTGTTTTCCCAAGTCTTGGTGGCCCTGTCCTGCTGACCTTGCTCTTGCAGTGGGGCAAGCTAGATGCACCCAACCTGCTCTGGTGAGGAGATCCTCCTGGAGGAGCTGGGGTTGGAGACTCTAGCATAGACTAAGTGGTATGGCTCTGGAGTAGGGGTCACATTCTCCTCATTGAGTACTTCATCATGCTGCCCCCCAAGACCTTGTCCTTTAAACCCAGTGGCCCCACCCTACTGAGCTGGTGCCATATGGAAGGGACAGAGGGGTGTGGCCAGCTTGGGCCCACTCTACAGTCTTTCTTCAAAAGGCTATGCAGGAAATCCAGGCAACCTCAGGAGGTGGTAGAGTAGCCAACAGGTGGATGCTAACCTCATAGAGCCTTGGACATTTTATTGATCTGCCCCCAGCTCAGAGCAGCAGGAAGATGACCATTTACACAGCTTGGCCTCCCCCCCAGCCCACTCCCCTCCCCCCCACACACACACTCAGGCCTAGTAGACACAACCACAATCAGTGAATAGCATGATAGCTCCAAACAAGTAGCCCAAGCTTGGTTACACACAATGTCTTACACAGGCCTACATGGGAACCCCCTACGAGTGGGCACAAAACAAGCACAATCAGTGGTGAGTTTCAAACCTCACTAGAGTTCAACCCAGCTAACCCATACAAATGGCACAGCCCAAGGTTCTAGAAGGCTCCAAACCAGGCGGGGAACAACTATGCCTCAAGGGGCAGTGGCTGAACAGGCACTAATATACAGTGAATTAGGTCGATTCTTATAGTCAGACAACCTGAGGGCAACTCAACCCATGAATGGGCCAACAGCATCCACAACTCAACTACAGCATGAGAGGGTGCATAACCCATATCAAAAGAAACATTTACAGGGTACCTATCTCAGGTGATCTAGAAGATTGTGCCATTGAGACCCACATGGCAACTACATCAGAAAACCCTCATAAAAAAACTTAGGAAGTCATAGCAGATCTACCTAATATACAGAGCCAAACACAAAAAATGGCAGACAAACCGGGAAGACAAAGAAATAAGCCCCAAATGCAAGAATGGAGAAATCCCCAGGAAAGAATTAAATGAAATGGAAGCAACCAAGTTACCAGATGCAAAGTTTAAAACGATGGTTATAAGCATGTTCGAAGACCTTAGAGGGACAATAGATGATCTCAATGAGAATTTAAATGAAGAGGCAGTGAGCAGTAAAAGGAACATAGAAACCATAAAAAGAACTAGTCAGAAAGGAAGAATAAATATCTGAAATATAGAATACACTAGAAGGCATCAACAGCAGGTTAGACGAATCAGAGGACTCAATCAGTGATTTAAAGGACAAGATAAGAGTAAGGATCCAAGCAGAGCACAAAAAGAAAATTAATTTTTTTTAAATGAGGAAAGCCTAATGGACCTCTGGGCCAACATCAAGTTGAACAATATCTATATATTCAGGGGTTCCAGAAGGAGAAGAGAGTGAACAAAGGGTGAAGAACCCGTTTGAAGAAATAATGGCTGATAACTTCCCTAAGCCAAGGAAGAAAAAGTCACACAAGTTCAGGAAGCACAGCGTCCCTGTCAAGATTAAACCAAAGAGACCCACACTAAACACATCGTAATTAAAATGGCAAAGGTTAAAGATGAAGACAATTTTTTAAATAGCAAGAGAAAGAGAGTTACTACAAGGGAGCTTCCATAATGCTGTCAGCTGATTTCCCAACAGAAACACTTCAGGCCAGAAAGGATTGTCACGAAATGTTCAAAGTGATTGAAAGCAGGGACCTACAAACTAGAGTACTCTACCTAACAGACTATCATTGAAAATTGAATATGAAACAGAGCTTCCTAGAACAAAATAAAAAAAGTAAAAGCTAAAGGAGTTCATTACCCCCAAACTATAATTGCAAGAGATGTTAAAGGACTGTCTTTAAGAAGGATGAAAAAAATAATAATAATATATATATATATATATATATATATATATATATATATAGAGAGAGAGAGAGAGAGAGAGAGAGAGAGAGAGAGAGAGAGAGAGAGAAGAGAGAGAGAGAGAGAGAGAGAGAGAGAGAGAGAGAGAGAGAGAGAGAGGAACATAGGTGCAAGTAAAATGGCAATCCTATTTATTAAAAGGGTAATATGCAAATTGACCATACCTCTTCTACTCCCACCGGCCATGCCCACCAGCCAATGAGGGCGAATATAGAAATAACCCCCACCAAGATGGCTGCAGCCACAGAGAGAAGGAGGGAGGCTTGGGTTTCCCTGGCAATTCAGGAAGCCAAGTTTTCTGCTTGCCATTGCCAGCCTAGGCCTCTACTCAAGGGTAGAAAGATTCACTTATAGAAAATACATAAATCCAAACAGAAATGGAGGCAGCCATGGAGCTGGAAAAAATCTGGAGGCTTGGGTAGCCCCCAGTGATGGAGGAAACCAAGCATTCCCCACTCCCTGGCTGGCCCAGGCCTCTGCTTAAACCTACAAATTTCAATTATAGAAGAAACATAAATCATAGCAGAAATGGCTGCCATCATGGACCAAGCAGGTGACTTGGCTCCACTCAATTATTTAGAAGATACATGAATCCCAGATACCTGCTTCCAGCCTATGCTTGGTTCACAGGGGGACTTGGCCAGCCTGCAAACCACCACAGGCCCCTTGCTCAGACTGCCCCACAGCCCAATGGAATCCCCACGCTGATCGATCCGGGACACCCTTCAGTGCCAAGCAGCTGGCCCCCACCCATCCACCAGGCCTCTATCCTATCTAATAAAAGAGTAATATGCAGATTGACTATCACTCCAACTCACAAAATGGTTGTCCCCATGTAGTTAAAGACCCTGCCCCCATGTGGACACAAGATGGCCACCACAAGATGACCAGCAGGGGAGAGTAGTTGGGAGGGACCAGGCCTGCAAGGAAGTGCAGTTGGGGGTGATCAAGCCTGCAGGGGAGGGCAGTTAGGGGTGATCTGGTCAGCAGAGGTGGGATGTTGGGGTTGACTGGGCTTGCAGGGAAGGGCAGTTTGGGGGGGACCAAGGCATGTAGTGGAGCGCAGTTAGGGGGTACCAGGCCTGCCAGGATGAGTAGTTGAGGTGCGGACCAAGCCTAAAGGGGAGGGCAGTTAAGGGGTGACCAGGTTGGCAGAGGAGGGAAATTGGGGGCAAACAGCTGGCAGGGGAGCAGTTAGGCATCAATCAGGTTGGTAGGGGAGTGGTTAGGGATAATCAGGCTAGCAGGAAGAAGTGGCTAGGGGCAATCAAGAAGGTAGGCAGGCGAGTGGTTGGGAGCC